GGCCCCCCCGAAAATGGAGGCGGCTCTGCTGGACTGCGCCGCGGGGGGCACCGCCGCCTCCTCCTCCTTGGGAGCGCTGCGGGGCTTCAGGTTCAGCTTTGGCCGCTGCGTGGGACCTGCCCGGGGGCAAAAAGGTCATCACAAAACCCCATTTGAGAGAAAAATGATCCCAAAATGGGATTCTGGGGAGGAAAACCCTCCCAAAATGTGATTCTCCAGAGGAAAACCCTCCCAAAACCCGACTTTCTGGTGAAAAACCCTCCTAAAACCCCAATTCTGTGGAGAACATCCCATTTTGGGGGGAAAAACCCTCCCAAAACCCAATTCTGTGGAGGAAAACGCTCCCAAGATGTGATTCTCCAGAGGAAAACCCTCCCAAAACTCGATTCTCTGGGGAAAAACTCTCCCAAAACCCAATTCTCCATATAAAAACCCTCCCAAAACCCAAACTTTAAAGAAAAACCTTTCCAAAATTGTGATTCCCAGGAGAAAAACCCTCCCAAACCCCAATTCTCCATAGAAAAATCCTCCCAGAACCCCATTTTAGAGAAAAAGTCTCCCCAAGGCCAGATTTTAGATCAAAACCCTCCCAAATCCCAATTCTCCATATAAAAACCCTCCCAGAACCCTGTTTTAGATAAAAACCCTCCCAAAAACTGATTTAGTGGAGCAAAACCCTTCCAAAATGTGATTCTGGGGAGAAAAATCCTCCTGAAACCTGACTCTCTGAAGAAAAACCCTCCAAAAACCCCAATTATCCAGAAAAAGCCCTCCTACAAACCAAATTGTGCTGAGAAAAACCCTCCTAAAACCCAATTCCGGTGAGAAAAACCCTCTCAAAACCCGATTCTGCGCAGGAAGAGCATCCCAAAACCTGATTCTCCATAGAAAAGCCCTCCTAAAAACCCGATTGTGGGATGAAAAACCCTCCCAAAACCCTGGTGGGAGCCCGTGAAGCCCACCCTGCGGTGTCAGGGGGAGCTGTGACCCCCCTAGATCGTGGTACCTCTGTCGTCGCGCCGGAAGTCGTCGCGGGCGTAGTCGTCGCGGGCGCCCCAGCGGTCCCCGTCGCGCCGCTCGTAGCGGTCGTCGTAGCGGTCGCTGCCCCCTCGGAAGTCGTCGTCGCGGCGGTACCCGGTG